TTATAAGTTATAACCATAGTTACTAACTACTTACTAACTACCCTGCCCCTTTGAGCAACAAAGTATCTGGCAACCAAGAGTTAGTTAATGAAGCACACTATGGCAAGGGAGGTTGCATTCTCCCTGTATCTTGATGCCCAAACAAGGAAGATTCCGCCAATTGCGGCACTCAAATGTGGTACTCTTTTAGAACTCTTTTAGCACTTTCCCATAGAGGAAACATCAAAAAACGAATCCTCCCCAAGGTCCAGGTGGAAAATTGCCCTCAAAACTTAGTTTCTTTGAACACCCACTATGCGTGACCGAATCGCCGGTTTTGGACCTTTTGGAAACCAATCTGGCTTTTGCGAGAATTGAAAACCTGCCCTAAGCATTGAGCAGGAACTGACAAAAAGGAGATCCGATTCGATTTCTTCCATGGGATCGGCTCCGAATTCTTATCTTGGTGGTTCCCAGCCATCCCCTTAGCCTTTTAGCTTTGTAGTATTTGGTGGTTGGATTTCCATTCAACCCACTAAAAGTTGTCGACTTTTAGCGGGGGATCTGAAAACGGACAGCCCAGTTATGCTTACGGCACAAAAGGACCTAAGCTTGTTTTGCTTGTTGCTAGGGTCCAAGCCTTAGCTGGTACATCCAGTCTCCAGGACTGCCCTACCTTCCATTTGCTGAAGAATATGTTTAGGTTTCCCCCGTTGCTAGGTCCCCCAGCAAGTGGTGCCAACTTTTACCGTTTCTTTTTTTGGTTGGGAGGGCTCCCCTACTAAAATAGACTACAGAAAAAAGTGTACCCTTATTCTATCCTCTCTACTGGAGGACCTAGGTTGGTGTTGAAGGGAAACACTGGTTTTTCCAGCCAGAAGCTGATCTGACCTGCAACCCGACAACTCTGAGGTTTTTGATTCTGGAGCCAGCCATTTTTTGTTTGGCTGGGATGAAGACGGGTTTTGGGTCGGTTTTCTGGTTCCGGTCGGGAGTTGTTTTTTGCATCTTCATGCGCAGCCGGAAAAGTGGCCGCACACCTTCAGAATGCCAACGCGCAAGTCTCAGGAATCACAAAGACCCTTACAACCAACCTATAACTGGGCTGTCCTCAGATCCCCTGCTAAAAGTTCAAGTTTGAGTGGGTTCAATGGACACCCGCACTAAACCAACTACAAACACCTAAACACCTTTCTGGAACCGGAAGACTCTCTAGGAAGCGCCAAAGCAAACAAAAAATGTCCAATCACCTGGCAACACGTCCTGCGTTTTGTAAGGCGTGTCTTATTTGGAGGGTACAGGATTGCCTAGGTCCTCCAGTAGAGAGGTTGGAACAAGGCTACCAACGTTGAGTTAACTTTCTTTTCAGGACGTCTATTTTAGTTGGGGAACACTCCCAACCAAAAAAGGGGTGAGTAAGGGCACTACTGGGGGACCTAGGATATGTAGCTCCCATAGGACCCCTTTAAGCCACACCCCAAATGGACCATAGCGTACTCGATCTTTTGACCGAACCCCCAAAAAAAGGTAAAAGGGCACCACTTGCTGGGGGACCTAGCTGTTTAGGTCCTTCAAACCAAACTCGTTCGGGTTCCGGGCGGGTCACCGAAGCCAAGTACCGCGCGCTGCAGAGGCTGGGGAACTGAGGCAGGAAGCGCGGGAGTCTCCGCGAAATTGGAGACAACTCCAAGCGCTTTGAAACACATATCCAATCCACCTCTTCAAAAAAATTGAGCTTCCACCTCTTCAGCGATTCAGAGGCCGCCTTGAAACATTCAATCCACCTCAATGCACCTCTTCAGCTAGAAGCCAGCCCTTCCATTCTCGCATCCCCTCCTCGAGGAAATCGCGCGGGACTTCGGCGCAGAGGTGGCACCCAAACCTGAGCTGGATATGGGTCATTCACCTAGAGTCTCCATGACCTAGAGCAGGGTTGTGGGAAATGACCACTGTGATACGTTACAAACAGGGCCTCACCCCAAAGACTAAGACCCCAGGGGGAGATTCCAACTTGTATCACAGAAGTGGTTGGAGAAACCCCGAGTGATCAACCACAACCCTGACCAACTGAGACTCAACGCGTCCATCCTCAGGGATCCGAAGTCCAGAAAACCGCGCCCGAGGATCCCTAGGGACAAATTTCCATAGGCCTTTTGGACAAATCGATTCGGATTTCCCCGGGTACATGGAAGAAAGCCCATCTAAACCAGGAATCGCCCTCTATGTTTTAAGCAAACCAACCAAAAAGGATCCCTAGGGAAACAGCTGCTAGAACCCTCAAAAAAAATGGTTGGTCTATACCCTAAATAATGGTTGGTCATGGACCAATTTGTAAAGGGTCATGGAGACTCCAGGTACGGGTGTTCTAAGGCCAACTTCCTTATTCCTTCCAGGGATCCGAGTCTTCTCAGCAAACCAACACGCCAGTGAAACGCCTGGTGTGTCCCTTCAAGACCAGAAAAAAAGGGGGTACCCTCAAAAAAGACACACCCATACCGTGAACGGGCGAAATCCATTTTTTCAGCAAGTTGATGGTTTGTTCCAGGATTTCCTTCATCCACACGAGTGCAGGATTTGTTCATCCACATGACAATGTGGGTCTCAACAATGAGACTGGGGGTAGCCGGGGGTGTCTCTAAATGGGCGAACTCATAAAATGGTGGGATTCCTTTGGTTTCCCTTTCAAACCACCTCAAATAATCGGATCTAAATGATAAGCTGCGTTCCGCGGTTGTAGCTTTCTTCGCAATTCCAAATTCAGCCATGGCCAAAAGAGCAAAGATACCCTCCCACCAATTCACATGGAACCTGACGTTCGGGACCCGGTCCCTTTAAAAGGACAAGTGTCTTGTTTTTATAACCAGGACCGGTGCCCGGAAACGTCGAACGGTTCCGGCTGTGTAATTGGTGGGAGGGTAGCCTAAATGGTTCTCCTCTTCTTCACCTCTTGCTTGTAGAGCTAGCTACACCTGGAGGAAACTTGCCTAGTTGCCGCAGGCAACTGGGAGCACTGGGGTGATGTTGCATGATTGCACAAATAATCCCCAAGTAGCAGGAATGTGGCTCTATGTTCCCTTTGTTTCTGGTTACTCATCACATTTCGAGGGTTCTTTTGACATTTCTTCGAACGGGGTGATGTTCAAACGGGAAATGCGGGGAACCCTGTCTGCTTCAAACGGTCCGGGGCCCGAGCGCAGAAATTTCTGCGCCAGTCAGTTCTCGTGTTCTGCTACTTGCAACACGGGAATTCACTGTAGCTGGGTTGGTGATAATAAAACTAGCATGTTATTTCGCTAACCCTAGTGTGTTTGTTGTTTTTTAAGGTAACCAATATTTGTTGAAGAAAAAAACAAAACAAGTTGTGCAGTCCTTGAGTACTTGGGGTATCTCAGTTGCGAGTGTTGCGCGTGGTTCCCCCCCCCCCCCAGTGCCCCCGTGCCGCTGCAGTACGCACAAAATGAGCCTTGCAATGTACAAAGCCTAAAGGCACCAGAGCCTGGTGAAGGTTTGGGGACAGCCAAGAACGGACATCGGCGTGTGATTTTTGGACTTGGTACTCTTTTTTGGTGGGTTTCAAGAAGGAAAACCAAGAGGAGCAACCGACTAGCGCCATTTTGGGGGTGCGATTCCCCTGAAAACACCCAAAAGGCTGCGGAGATCCGCCTTTAGATGTTGGGTAGACTCAGCTGGTTCACACTCCCGGGGGCTGAAATGGTTTCAATGACTTTTCGGGTTCCCTGTCGACGGGAGACCCGGTGTTGTGCTTTTTCTCGAAACTAAAAGTGGGTGGTTCTCCCCTAAAATGAGCAATCCAATCCAAAGGAATCCAAACCCAAAAGACCGAACAAAACCCTCCAGACCAAGTGGATGGCACCATAGGTGGCCTTTTGGACAAATAGATGGATTTCCCTGGTAAATGGAACAAACCCCATCTAAACCAGGAATCGCCCTCTATGTTGATATTTTTTTCGCAATTCAACCCAAAAAGGACACCAAGTAGATGGCACCATTTTGATATGACCAAAGCTCAAATCGTCCGGAGTCCGGCCTGTCGAAGCCCTTCCAGCGCTCGGAAGTCATGCGGTGCACCACCACCGCGGAGTTGTCGCACTTCAAAGCGAACAAGCCACCGAAGTCCTACCGGACTGAGAGGGCGGCCAAAGGTGTTCTTTTAGGCAAATAGATGGTCCTGGTAGATGATTAAACCAGCAGGTAAACCAGGAATCGCCCTCTATGTTTCCACCAAATCTACACCTATGGGCCAAAGTGGTCGGGGGGAGGGCGGGGGGGGGGGGTGTTCTTGGTAATCAACGAGACCAACAGCAACGAGGGGGGAGGTGGTTTTTTCTCACCGATCGAGTGAACTCGCCAAACCAAGGTCACCACACTTTTTGGGTGCCGCTGATTTGGTTCCGACCCAAAAAGTGACGAAAGTCCGAGTTTCGGAACTCAGGGAGTGAGTTTCAATGAAAGACAACCACTTCTACAGTCCGGAAACCTTTTTTCTGAGGTGGCCCAGAAAGCTTCCAGTCGTTACAGCCCCCTACGTTTCCCCTTTGGACATCACGCATAAAAGCACACTCACCTCCCAACAGGAGATGCCTCAAGGCCCCCCCTCCACCAAAAAAGAGAACAGACACATAGAAACATATGGGGCACCCTCCAGTCACCAGGCAAAGGCTCTTGCTGCATGCTGGCCTATGGACTCCTCTGAACCGATGAAACCGTCTCCGAGGGTTGGGCGTTTTTACCCGCAGACAACGGAGGCCTTAAAATGGCAGGGTTGACCCCCCCTTTAAAAGAAGAGAGCAAGCAGTGGAGCTGCAAAACTACATCCCTGAAAGCACCCCTTCTGTAAAAGAATGATTCATCCAGTTTAGATGATGACAATTCGTAGGCAAACAATGGTAGTTATATTCACCCCCGTGGCTTGAATCCCAGCAGAAGGAGGCCCAAACAATCAGTTGACACGGTCAAAGTATGCGGGTAAGCTGTCAAGAACATGGAACAAACTTACCTGAATCAAGGATGGTTTCTCAGAAATCGAGTGAATCTCGCAATGTATGTCCCTCCCAAACTGGAGGAGCATATGGAAGTATGCTGGCCTTGTAGCGTGGCCAGACTTGGACAGCTAGGTCCTCCACTGGAGAGGTTAGAATAAGGGTACCCTTTTTGCTGTAATTATTCTATTTAGTAGGGGAACCCTAAAAGGGCACTACTGGGGGACACTGATCTTATTGCTGGTAAGGGGAACACAAACTAAACCAAGGGCAAACAAAAAAAACAATGTCTGGCAATGCTCCACTTCCTGCCAGCATAGCACCTGTGGGAAGGCGAATAGAAGACCGATTTCCTCACACCTTTCGTCCGGCATGACGCAAAGCAAGGTGGAAGCATGACGCAAGCCGAACCAAAGGTCCTTGTGGTCATGAAACCAGGGCCAGTAGTGGAGGTAGAAGAGCCGCTCCACACTCCTTTCGGATTTCGGTTTCCGCGAGCGGACCCGCTCTTTCCACGGGGTCAACTCGGTTGCTTTCTGCTCCCCGGCTCAAAGTGAATAACTTTTAGTGGTTTAATACGGAAAACCTATTCGTTGGCAAAAAGTTGTTCAGTCCTAACATCACTGGGCAAAATGCAACAACAAATATACTCTGCCGCACATATCCTGATCAAACTAGTCTCGACCACTGGGCACGTACCGTGTAACCATGTTGTTTCAAAAGAGCCCAATGTGTAACATGGTGTAACCATGTGTAACCATCCATCAATAACCACCTCAGCGGAGCCCACGTGCAACCAGGAACAAAATGCAAAAGTCACTGTGGGCTCCGCCAGGAGTTTCTGTGCAGATCGCGGTGATTCCTGGATTTATGCTGAACCACTTTGGTACCAGAGCGATGCATTCCGATGCCCACGAAGATTTCATAAAGTCATGGGGGTGTGCTTGCATTTCACGGAAAGTCGCCTTAAAACAATCCGGGGGGGGTCTTTTTGCGACCTTTTGTGAGAAAATGGGCGACCCCCCCCAAACAAGGAATGCTTCACTACAAGGGGGTCGATCATTGTTTCCACCAAAGGTGGCAAACAAGACCACCACCTGCAAATTGTGCAACGATTCCAAAAGCTGAACTAAGAATTGGATCCTCGAGTAAAGGATCTTTATCATGGTGAGGTCATTATACCAGAGAAACCAAAAAGAACACCTTCGAAGGCCATATTTTTGGAAAACCATGATATCTGTCCTTCTGGCTCCTCAAACTTGGTCAATGCTTAGCCCCAAACCTAAGATTTGCAATGCTTTGTGCTCATCACTGTAGTCAAAGCTCAAGGGCAGGAATGGAAGATGGGTTCCGGCATCGATGCGGGGAAGTGAAAAAGTCTGGGGCCAACCTTCTGTTAGCAGGAAGGCCGTCTCTGCAGAACGCTTCTTGGCACCGCTGCAAATCCAATGTGGGCGTCCTGGATGTCCGCGTGCGTGCTGGTTGAGGCCACCCTTTTTACGATTTTTGGGGGGGTGTTTAAAGGGAGACCAAAGGGAAGCGAGTTGTTCTGGAGGGCTCCGCATTTTTTAAAGACAACAGAAGGCAAAGGGGCTGAATCAGTACCCTCCTGTCCACATGGAACCCGCTTGAAGGGTTCTGGCAGACTATGTTCTTTTAAAAGGGACCCTCTCGTGGGTTGAATGTTTGCGGACAGGAGGGTATACCCTAGGGTTCAACCCCCATTAAAACAATGGTTCATCCAATTTAGATGATGACAATCCATGTTTAGACTGACTTAGGCCCAGTTATAGAATGTATATTCTAGTGTTTGCTTCCCTTTGAGTCACTGTTAAAATGGTAAAAGGTATCCTAAGTCTAGCCCAGATTCCTTAGGTAACCAAACATCTCTACTCTTGGTATGGTAGCAACAAACTATGTTTTTTGCAGACCCCCAGTAAAAATGAACAGAACCAATCTAAAAAACCAAAAAAACACATGATCCAAGAACAGCGAAGCAATGGTTGCATGATTCACGCTGGGGCTCCAAGCAAGGCGGAAGGAAGGCCGGCAGGCCGACTTTTTTTTCTTTTTCCGCGGCCAAGCCACCGGAACCATAGGCCGAAGAGCATATCCTGGGCGCTGGAGAGGCACGAGACGGTCATGCACCCTTGCAGGTGTATCCCCAAACAATTGTTTGGTTTGTTTGTTTGTATGCTTGTTTGTATGTTTAATTGTTTGTTTGAATGTTTAATTGTTTGTATGCTTGTTTGCTTAGATATTTAGGTTGTTCCTAATATCTGTCCCTGACAAAACAATGTGGCGACAAAGCCAGGGATGAACAGGCCCAGAGGGTCCCTTGGTACCTGAGGAGGTACTGAACGACTCCTTTTTACCCGCCAACAGCCATCCTCATGAGGTACCAAGGGACCCTCTAGGAGGGCGAGTTAGTTGCCGGACCAGGTGAAAGCAAACGACCTGAACACCGATAGGTCAGCCGTTCATATCTCCAAGGCGAGCCCCGATATTCATATCTTCCATGGCCATGGCCCCAATAGGCATCATTATAAACGGTGATTGGGGATCTGCCAGGATGACGGTCTGACCATCACGTCAATCCCAAGGAACCGCTCGGCTGGTCGGCTCTGACCGTCATATACCAAGCCAGAGAAGCCATTGCCCACGAGTCCATGGCCCAAGCCATTCGAGGTCTGAATTCGGATTGCCATGGGCGTGTTTAAACGTTTATGGAGTTGCTAGGGGAGGTGGTCCAAGGAAGGGGGCTTCCAAAAGATCCCGAAGCAACCCCCTCAACCTCCTCAAGCCATATGGAAGCCTAAGGAACCTGAAGCGGGAAGTCTCAACTAGGCATTCCAGAAAAAGATGTAGGGGACCCACCAGAAGTCGGATTTGTTTCCTTCGGCTTTCATTTCAAAAAAAAAGGGTAGCCACAAACAAGAATGGCAGCCCCATATGCTCCTCTGCTCTCTCAAACAGGACGCGTTGCCTCGGTGTTCGAGAGGGTCCCGGAAACCGGAACCCACCTCGCCGCAATTCACCATTTGGGTTCTCCCAAACTCAAAAAGTGCGAATCAACACAGCGGGTTTCTCAAGATCGCCCAAACTGCCAAGGGCTTCCTGTTGGTTTCCCTTACATATCAAAAGGAACTTCATCCTGTAATTTAGAACCACTCAACCTTTTGGGTTAGTTTAACAAGAAGACAAAAGGAGAACCATCAGTTTTTGGGTGGGTGGGTCTCCTAAAAAAAAAAAAAAACGACGCCCCCCACTGAAAAGTCGCCTCCCACCGAAAAGTCGCCCCCCCTCCTCAAAACGACGCCTACACAAAACACAGAACGACGCCCCCCACTGAACAGTCCCCCCCTCCTCAAAATGACGCCTACCACAACCAAAAAACAGAGGAAAACAAAACAAGAAAATAACATAAAACAAAACAAACAAACGGAACATGTCCCCCACCGAAACGTCGCCTTCAAACAAACAAAAAATAAGCATGTCGCCCACCGAAAAGAGCCGCCGATCCCCCGACCGAGCCAAAAGGGTGCTATCGGCCAGAGCGTCGTCGTTGCCCCTGAGCTTCAGGGAGAAGCCCAGGTTCGCCAGGAGCTCCGCCAGGTCCTGGGAGATCATGAAACCTCGGCACAGGATCCATGGGCTCCATGGGATTTTTGGGTGAAGTACTAGGTCCTCCAGATTTGAGAGGTTGGAATAATTTGGTACCAACTTGGTTTCTGTCTACTTTAGTAGGGGAACCATGGAATTTCTGGGTGAATTCTACTATCAAAGGGTTGAGTTGCAGGAAATTCTACAGGAAAACAGCTTATTTAGGGTTTTTTGGGTCCATTTCCTGTAGATTGTCCTGCAACCAAACCCTTTGATACTACTTCACCCACCTGAAATCAGGTGGTTGGGGGGCTTTCTCACCACATAAGCCACAGTTTGGGGTGAGGGATGGGAGTTCTGGGTGAATTTGAATATTTCACCCACCTGTTGGTTCCTCCTTGCATCCAAATCGGTGACTGGTGGCCGCGTTTACACGGTGCCAACAGCACAAATAATATTTCACCATAATATCTGATTATCATACTGTTCATGGTTGCGAAATCCGTTCGCACCAGTTTGAAACCATGGTTGCAGCCATACCGTTTGGTGGTATTTACAGGGGAATCATCATCTAGGGTTTTTTGGGCGGTGCAGGATTTCATGCATCCACCTGAAATAAGGTGCTCGGGGGCCACTCCCCACATGAACGAACCACCATTTGGGCTGAGGTCGTGCGTTATGGTTCACCGCAAATGGGATGGGGTGCCAGAAGTACGTGGAACTTAGTATATAGGTTGGTTCCCACCCTCAAACTGCCCATGACATTTTGTTGGAATGCGCCTAGCATGTTGGGTTGCAGTATCAGGGATCCTTACATTATACACCTGAACATTGCAACTTGTAAATGGTGGTTTCCATTTCTTTATTTTGGTGTTGAAAAAGCCACATGTTTCAAATGGCTGCAACATGAATCTCTTTTCAAGGAGCCCTGTTTAATTTTGAGCCATTTGGTTTCACGCCGCCTGGGACCGACTACCCGCGGGATCCCCAAGCGGCAAGTTGGAATTTGGGTCCCGGAAGAAAGCCCATGGGGTAGAGCTGAGGCAACTGGTTGCCTGGCTTTGTGAGAAAACCCTTGGCTAGGTCCTCCAGATTTGAGAGGTTAGAATAAGGGTGCCGTTTCTTTTTTCTGTAGTCTATTTTGGTAGGGACACCCTCCCAACCAAAAAAGGGGTGAGAAAGGGCACTACTGGGGGACCTAGTTGGTATAAGAAACTACTTGCCAAGCTGGCAAGCTGGTTTTGGGGGGGCATGGGGGAGATGCAAAGGTGAATCGGTAAGAATCAGCCGCGCTGGGATCCGCAATTTCATGGGAACCCAATCAACTTGGGTCAAGTAGCCTGGACCCCGCTGGACCGATCTCTTTTCTCTGCCGGAATGACTGCAAAAGCAGGAAAATTGGGCCAGGTGGGTCTTTGATACCATTTTTGGTGGTCAGTTGGCTTGGATTTGGAATTGAGGCCCTGGCTCTGACAGAAAGAAAATAGAAATCACCCCGAACAGCTTGGGGTCTTCGATTCGCCAAGTTAGCAAGTTCTCAGTAACCTGTGTTTTATCCTCCTTACGCGGGGTTCACCCAGTCTTTAGGGGGTTATAACCCAGGTGGCTAACCACTTGCTAACTTGGCCAAGCATCCAGGAAAGAATACACCTGTGCTATCCCCAATCACCTCGAAAATCTTTGGAACGCTCCGAACACCTCTTGAAAGCTCCCCAAAACTCATTCCACAGCCTATCTGGGCCTATTGACCCCATAGCTTTCAGCTGTTGGGGAAAAAGAATAGGCTGGCCAGTTTGGAAGACCATTTTCCCACCAAACTTAAACGGACAAAAAATTGGACAAATGACGGAACAAGGGGTGTCCCTGAACAAGTCGGTTCTGTGACTGAGAGCCAAATAAATATAGGGGAGAAGTTGCAAGCCTTTACAAGAGTGCCTTGTCAGGGGGTCTGTTCCCCAAGGGCCAAAAACCATCAGGACTTCCCATGGAGTCTCGTCAGTTTCACCCTCGATGCGAAATGGCCAAGGGTTCACGCCTGTGGCACATGCCTGCATGCCTCAACACAAGTCACTGGCACAAAGGGTAGCTGCCCTGCTTTTCGGTCTGTGACTACCGTGGGCAACTTCTGGAACAATTACCTCCATTAAACAACAATATATCCGACAATGGTAGATCCAAAAAGGGGAAAAAAAAACAACAACATATGCTTGAGCAACTGGAAGACGACTTCTGCTTTTGTTAACAACTCAGCCACTGCGTGTTGGAAACTCCACGCGCCGCGCCGAGAAATTTTCTCCAAAAGTCTTTCGCTGAGGGCCACCATGACGATGCATCAGGGCTTCCTCTACTAGGTCCTCCAGATTTGAGAGGTTGGAAGGGCGCCGTTTCTTTTTTCTGTAGTCCATCTTAGTAGGGAAACCCTCCCAACCACAAAAGGGGTGAGAAAGGGCACCTAGCTGGGGGACCTACCTCCAAAAGTGGCGCTCGCTTCAACGGAACCCACCAGTCAATTGCAATTTTAGAAGGGGAACCAGTGACCCCTAAGAATTTCTGGGTTTCCAAGAACTAGCTGAAGCCCTTGACCAAAGGGCAGCCTATGATCTTCAGGGGTCTCGTACTTTACACCAGTTTCTTGCCTAGAAACCACTTGGGTGTTCGATTCGCCAAGTTTCGTCAAGTTGGGAAGCTGTTGGTAACCTTGCTTAGAGCTCCCCTGTTCACTGGGGTTGACCTTGTTATTCGAGGTTCCGAACCCCCAAACGGCAATCGCCACTTACCAACTTGGCGAATCGAACATCCAAGTAGCAATTGCCATGAATCACTCGCATACCTGCCTCTTCTCCCTTGGGCCATCCGAATTGCTAACCACTACTTGGGTGTTCGATTCGCCAAGTTCGTATGTGCTTAGCTACCTGGGATATATCACCCTCTGTTGACTGGGTTAACCCCACTTACGGAGGCTTATAAGCAGGCTAGAACCCAGGTTGCTGAGACGTGCTAACTTGGCAACGAAGACCCAAGTACACTCACCAGAACGGAGTCCCAAAGGAAGCTTCATGAATTAACCGGCGCAATTCCAGGTCGACGCGCGTCTCTATCATTCGAGTAAGGCCCTGCACAACCTGAGCCACCAGTAAAATGCAAGAAACATGTGTCTGTGTGTCTTTTCTTAGGGCACCCCCCCCCAAAATGGTGGCTTTCCTTGTGGTTTCCCCTTAAACCAAACCAAACCCCCCCCCCTTTTAACTTTTTCTTTCAACTGTGGATGGTTGCGAAATCCATTTCGCACTACCCAAGAAACCCAAGAATGATGATTCCCCAACGTAAATACCAACAAACGTTCGCAACCATCCACAGTAGGGCTGGTTTTTTCCTAGGGCTGGTTTTCCGCATGCCCACCCCCCCCCCCAAATAAATAAATAAATACACGCCCACATGTCCTAGCTTCATACCAGCAACAAGTGCGGCACCCGTGCAACGCTCACCACACGCCGCGCGATAGGCGACGCTTCCCTCCAAGGAGCCCATGCCGTGGGCAAAGATGGGCAGCTTCGAGGGGGAGCCCAGGTACATGTTCACCGAGTACTCCTCTTCTTCGGCTGTGGCTCAAAAAACCGGTACCAAAAACGTTTTTCGGGTTTGGACCCATTCGAGTGGTACATATGGCTGTATTCAAAAAACCGGAATTCCACCATGGGTTGCCCGATTGGGTGGACACATGGTTGCCAAAACCTGCACTTTGCCCCCCCGATCGTTTAAGTTTGAGGTTCCACCCATTTGGTGGGGCCCCGTGTCATGATTTTTTAGGGGACACTTCCAGGGATCCAAAGCTTTCCAGAAAACTATCAGTTCAGGTTGGAAACCGCTGCTCAGTTGTTCAGTGACCCGGGAAAAAAAGGGGACCCATTCTTTTTTTGGGCTTGGACCATTTTAGTGGGGCAGCCACCAAAAACAAGGGGAAACAGGCAACTGAGGCTGGTTTTGGAAAAGAAGGATGGTTGAAAAGAATGGACAGGGAATCAACCCCTAGATGTTTGGCTGATTTGGGTGTGTCGTGAAATAAATTTGGACCCTCCCAAAATGGTGTTCCTTTTGGTGTCCCGGCCAAAACACAAAATGCTATCAACTCCAAAAACGACACACCCATTTTGGGAAACTAGACACGGAGCCAGGGAAACCAGAAACTGCCCGGTTTCCAGTTCGGCTCCCCCGAATTCTCCGACGCAAGGTAGAGAGGCCCAGGCCATAGCTCACTGGCTGAGTGGATGCCCCCCAAAAAGTCCGAACTTTATATTTACCACTGAAATGGTCCAGACCCAAAAAGTTTAAAGTTCATGAACTCAGGAAGTGAGATAGACTCTGGCATGCAAGTGGTGCCTGGCTTGACTTTTATCCATCCACAGATCAAAGGTGGGACTTACTCGTGGCCATACACCAACTGGCGCCTGGCATGATTTTAATCTGTCCACAGCAGGTAGCTTACACTCCTGCAGATCAAAGGTGGGACTTACTCGTGGGATTGCTTGAAATCAAAGTCAAAAGGAACACCACTCAGTTGAGTGGTTCCCTACACTTGTGCAGATCATGTAGCCCAAAACACCATCGGGTTCAGGAATCTCTTTAGAGAAAGGATGTCTTGCTTGCTTTCTTCCCTTAGCTCGCAGGGGAGTAAGGTAGAACGTGAACGGATCGTTGCAGGTTTGATGTGAAAAGTCAATTGCTAAAGCTTGGAGGCGTCAGGATAAGAATGGCCTCTTAAAGGCTACAGAGTAGAGGTGAAAACCAACATGCCCACCATTGTTTAAAGTTCGTGGTGAAAGGCAAACCATATCGCGTTAAACACACAGAGCTTGAACACGCAAGGTTAAAGATACGCCATCAACGATCAAAGGTGAAAGGTCAGAGACAAATTAAAACGTTGCTCCACAGGATATAGTCTGGTCGAAGCAAGGGTTGACTCCCTGTCTTCAAAGCAGATTGGAAAACCTGGGCTCAGAATCGGGACAGGACTTGGCACTAGATTGTTGGATGCTTTGTCTCTTCAAACATCAATGTGGTTGCCAACTAACTAGAACTCCTCGCTTCTGCTTGGGTTGGGACATCCAAGGAAGTCTCTGGACAATGCGGCGATCCGTTTTGTCCCTTTCCCCAGACCACCACCCTCCGCCCTCCCCCACCCCCCGACCCCAAACCCCCCCCCAAACGGGTCCACTCGCCTGCAGTGGCCGTCCCGAGCCCTCGTCGAAACGCTGCGGGATGGTGTCGATCATATTGCCCACCTGACACCCCCGGAGGAATCTCCAACTTCCCAAAGAGTCCCTTCCTAGGGGTTGATTCCCCATTCCTTCCAACCATCGTTCTTTTCAAAAACCAGCTATTTTGCCTGGGTTTTGGAAGGTTTTCTGGAAAGAAGGATCCCTGAAAAGAATGGGGAAGGTACCCCTAGACCCTTGGTACCTTCTGAGGTGCTCAACGACCCCTTTTTACCCCCCAAAAGGCCATCACTTTGGAGCTGGTTCCTTATTAAGAATACTAGGTCCTCCAGATTTGAGAGCTTAGAATAAGGGTAACGTTTCTTGTTTGTCTGTTCTGTCTATTTTAGTAGGGGAACCGAATCTCCCAACCAAAGAAGGGGTTAAGAAGGGCACCTAGCTGGGGGACCTAGAATTTCCAGGAAGCTTTACCACATCCCTTTTTGCATCACGGCCCATGAAGCTGATAAGACTTAGATCCAGAAAATGATCAATGGAACATCACATCTCCAACTGATGTAAACATTTCGTGAGATATGGGCGTGGCTCAAAACTTAAGAGCTAGGCTTACGCAGGTGTTAATCCTTGGTTCCATTTACCACTCACTGGCTGAGTGGATGGCCCAAGAAAAGTTTGAACTTTTTATTTGCCACTAAAATGGTCTTTCCAAAAAGTTTAAAGTCCACCAACTCAGGAAGTGAGACCATTTACCAACGGTGCCGTGGTACCTTTTTCTGAGCCACAGCCACATGCCTTCGACCCTTTATAAGGCTCTGGAAGCACCACCTTCCCGAGCCCAGTTCCGCCGGGGGACGCGCGAGACGAAGAGCGCGAGAATGGGAAGCAGAATTGGGGAAGCTGTGATCAAGGTGGGGAAGGTCCGAAAAAGTCCCGAAAATAGGTACCTGGAGTCTCCATGACCCTGGAAAAATGGTTGGTCATTGCCCTGAAGAATGGGGTCATGGACCTATTTTTCAAGGGTCATGGAGACTCCAGGTACCAAGTAAAGCAGTGACCAACCGTGGCATACTGCAGGAATGCCTTGCTTCAAGGGTTCAAGTGCCCCATGAGAATGGACATGTGTACAGATTGTAGGGGTGCCACGAACCTCCTTCGAACGTACTCGAAATCCGCGGATTGCTTCCGACTTGCAAAACTAATGGAATCAATCATCGAGCGTGAGCTATCCTTGGCACCGCTGGGTCCAGGGTTATTGGGAATGGACGTGATGCAGCCGAAGCAATGAACGCCTGATGACACCGGTGGGCTGCATTCCCATTCGGATGCATGGTAATCCCGGACCAAAAACAAAAAGACCGTGCCCTTACTTGGTTCCAATCTCTTGCGTCGTCAGTGGCTCCGGAATTGACTGGAACAAATGCCATGGGTGTCAGGCTTCAGAATTGACTGGAACAAATGCGCAACATGCGGGGTTCTAATTAAGGCTCTCCAACAACCAGTCGGAGGGCTGGCTCTAGACTTTAAACTAACGCCGCTTTGTGCTCACCCGGGCATGGCACAAATAGTTGGGGCATAGTGTTTCACTGTACACTTTCCCCCCATGCCGAGAATGGGGATTGGATCTTTGGTCTTTAGTCCGCATGACAAGTTGTCCAAAGCTGCAAGATAGCCACAACTGATTCAGGACAGCGTTGATTTTGCACAGTCACTTGAACATGTTTGGTCACTGGCATTCACAAAAACACGTGCACCCGCATTTCCCGTGATTTCACGCACAAAGTTGGGTCTTCGTTTAGAGGGCAGCCTTTTCAGGGTTGCTTTCAATAGCAGCGTAGAACAAACCGGGCGGGTGGGTGGGTTGCTAGGCACGAGTAGGAAAAGGAAACCCAAAGCCAGAAAGTGCAAAATAATACTCTATGGCCATGGGTCAAAATTTCGTACCCTGAGCAAACATCCCACTCCCCGCTAAAATAGACCACAATGGGTGGTGAATTCACCTACCCCAAAATGGGATCCCATTGGTTTTGACCACCACAGCCCATAGAGTTCCGCGGTCCGAATCCTTCGGGCCGGGTATTTTTTGCTGAGGCGCATAGACGCGGCGAGTGGGCAAGAGGTGAGTGAGCTCCAGAGCGTTGGGCAAGCTGATGAAGGTGTCATCGTCCGCGATCTCGGTGGCGTTGCTCCCCGCGGGGGAGTGTGCCAATGGATTCAGCCGGCAGTACATGCCTACTTGCATAGTATAAACAGCATACTGGTTCTTTTGGTGGACTCAGCAGCTGGGGTCCAGTGCAAAAGGGCAAGCAACGACCTATAGGACGTTTAGTTTCCTCAACACGCCCGTCACCGGCAAGGTGAAAATATAGAACCACTGCGTGAGGTGGACAACCCTAAACCAAATCCGGGCCAGCACATGCCGATGGATTTTTGGGTTGGGGTCTTGGGAGAATCGTTGCAATTCCTGGTCTGGATTCGGACCGGCATGCCAAATGTGTTGGGGTCGGGGTCTTTAAGCAGTCATGTCAAGAACGTGTGGCAGCATGTGGGGCGAGGGTCTTGACAAATACATCGCGTGTGCAAACGCATTCTGCGGGGCAGCAGTTCATTTGTCCAATACTATTGGGAGAATACAAACAAGCAAGAAGGACCTTCTTTTGAACAGAGGAATTCCAACAAGCAAGCATGGGATCGCACCATTCCTTCCATGCCAAACATCCCATTCGCGAATTTCACTGAAAGCCTATGTCGGAATATACATTCGCTTTCTTTGAGGATTTGATAAGCGAGAAGCTCAACTCGTATTTAGAGGGGGAGGCTTTGCTTTCGAGTGGCTCCAGATTGAGCTTGCCTAATCGCTTGTCTGCATGAAGGCTAGCAAACCATTTCAAAATAGACTCTTAGGATGCCTTCCTGTGTTGAATGATTTCAATCCCGTCGCGAATAGGCCATGTCAATTGTCGTTTTCATCGACCAAAAGCTTGCATCTCATGCTAAAACCCATGAACAGCAGGGAGCTGACTGACTTTTCTTGAGAGCGAACCTCGTTTCATCTGATTTTCCAAGGAAACTAGCCAAGGAGGGAATCGGTTGTGTTTACAGTTGCCCACGTTGGCATCTTTGGAGGGGTGCCAAGATGCACTGCCCATGATGTAGGTGAAGACCCGGCGCTGCATACATTTATAGATGGTCACGGTTGTACGAATTTATGTTCTGCAAGTGTGACAATCAGAAGGCATGAGACACTCCGAATACTGAAAGCATTTCTTACTGGATCAACTAGTCGGCTTCACAAAGTTTCTGACCCAGAGTGTCTAAATCCTCGTCATATATCGTAGGCGTTGTATTTCTACCGGACCAGATAGCAAACTAACAAAGGGGAAGAGCACAAATTAAACACTGAACTGTTTGATCTGCTTAATACATACTTTGCGTTGGTACTCGGTTGCCTGCTGAATGTTGAGGGGTGAGGAAATGGCCGTCAGTTCTCGTTCGACACTGTAGTTACTGTAGTCTGGATAGTTTAATAGGGACAACCATTTGACTCACTGCCACCCTGTTGGGGGGAAAAAAACAACTCGTAGCAATGTACAAACTCCAATTTTCATCATGCAACTCCAATTCTCAACATAGTTCCTTAAATGCCGACCTCCTGCAGGGTCACGAACCCTACACATTTTGACATGGGTTTTATTGTGGCTCACTTAGTATCAAAAGTACTCTAGTCAAACGTCCCCTTGCCCTTGGTGCGCTTGTCGTGCACGACCTCCCAGAGATAGTGGTCTATCGACTCACTCGATCAGACTGCGGGCGCTCATTGCCCAGTTCAGCTGTGCAGTCTCCGGGCGCGGCCCACGCGACGGCTGGCACCCGTACAGCCTCAACCACAAGCGAGGCGTTGCGTCGGCGGGCCTGACCATCATCTCCGGGACGCTAGCTCCTTCTTCGGAGCCCACGGCAAGCACTGTGCCCTTGGCCCTGGCGGGCATCTTGTTCAAGAAGCGCAGGGCCATGTTGGCTCCAGCGATGGACTGCAGCAGCCGAATGAACTGCGCGCACCTCGCCTTGAGGGCGATGTGTGTGATTTCCATTCAAAAGCAACCAGTGAAATAAGTAACATATTCAAACTGAGACAATTGGATAGGCGCGGCAACCTGGCCTGAGCTGAGAAGAAGCCTCTGACAGTCCGAGACTTTGAGTCCCGAAACCCTGATTTGGGATTTCTTCGGTCGCGTTATGTTCACCTGGCAGGAGTTCAAGGGCATATTCAGGTAGGGGTCTTGGAAAGATGCTTATATACCAACAACAAAGCTCGCAATGCATATGCCACTACACAAGTGGCATCAAAACGTCACATGAGGCCAAATGCCGTTCGTTTGCTATGCATCTCGTTTCATTGGGGGGGTGTCCAAACTCGGGCCGCCCCTTTTGGATGTAAGAATGAGAAGCCAACAGGACAATTAGCAGTCCTATAGGCCACTGACTCTGATTTTGCCGACACAACCATTGAGAATCCAGATGCAAAGTGAGGCCGAAATCCGAACTCCCAGGGTCCCACCATGTGCGTCCACAGCGGCAAGCAGGTACTCGTAGGTCAATTCCAGGCGAAGGCGTCGCAAGCCTTGCCGTGCTGCGACTGCGGAACACGTGACGCGTGTGGGCGTGGATTCGAGGCACTGACCTGCATCCCGTTTCATGCGCGAAAACCAACAAAAATATGCTCCATACTCCATGAGCTTGGCCGATTCAGGGGCACACACAAGTTAATATCGGGGTGTATTTTTTTTGAGGGTCTATGATTGTAAAAGACACCATAAAAGAAAACCACCATTCATTTTAGTGGGTCCTCCAAGCCCACGAAGGGTCGTTCAGACGCTCTTCTGGCAAAAAAAACAAACGACACGCTTAGGAGTGACGACGATAGCACAGTTTCGTTCCAAGACTTCCCAGCCGAATCATTTCCGCGGACCCTCCATTGTAAGGCACAGACCCTTTCAGGCTAACACGGGCACAGCAGAAATACAAGTATGCAACACAAAAGCATAAAAAACAGAGATAGAGAAAGAGAGAGAGAGAGAGAGTGGAAGGCTCTCACACACAAAGACACAAACACATAGACAATCACAAACACCAAACACACTAACAACACAGCCAGCCAACCAACCCGCCAACCAACCAGCTAGCCAGCCAGCTAGCCAGCCAACCAACCAACCAATGCACCATCCGACCATCCGACCAACAAGCAAGCAACCAGTCAATAGAAACTGACTAACAACCACGCAAGGCATGCAAGCAAACATGCAAGCACGCAAGAGCGCGAATATGCGAGCATGCGCCTGCGCGCAAGGACACAAGCAAGCAAGCCAGCAAGCCAGCAGCCGGACCAAGCAAGCAAGCGAGCAGATGAGCGAGCAGGCAGACACAGCGCAACGCTGCAGTACACTAAGCAACGCAAGACATCAGAGATCAGCAGAATACAACACAACACTGCACAATACAACACACAACAACGCACACACAGACACAACAAGCAATACCAAAACCACACACACGATACAACAAACGGCAAACACGCAGCACACGCATACAAGCATATAGTGTGTCTGTTCAGACCGTCTTCCCACAAGAAAAAGACACTACCAACTAAAAAAAACTCTGTGCCCACAAATTCACGAGGTCAGGTGGCATTTGGCAGGCCCTAAAGTCACCGACTCCAAATGGAGTGCGCTTAGACAAGGCATAAACACCCTCTCCAAATGCAACTTCCCTCCAGGAGTGCCAGAAAGAAAACGACTCCAAATCCAAGCGTATTATAAATTACGGCTCCAAAAAGCCAACACACTCAATTGGGCTGTCCTGAGATCCCCCGCTAAAAGTGACTAAATGGTAGTGGGTTAAATTCGGAAATCCCACCACTAAACACTAAAATCTAAAAGGCTAAGGGGATGGCTGGGAGCCACCAAGTCAAGGAGTACTCCAAAGGAAGAGTTCAACTCCAAAAAGCCAAAGCCCTCTCCAAAGGTGACCCTCCAAAGACTTTTACTTGCTCAAGCTCGCTGGGAGAGCATTAGATTCCCTGAAAAAAAACACAAGAGCCAATAAAAGATGGAATAGCAGAACATCTAACCCTTGAAAGGCCCCCCCCACCCCAAATGAGACAACCTGTCCGGCAGGCCTGGCCTATGATCAGCTTCAGAAGCTCCGGGTT